TCTGCCTTCTGACATTTCTCTTACAAGTTTCTTATGCCAGTAGCAATCATCCAGAGCCAAAACAGCATGAAGCAATAAAACACACACTCTCTATTGCAGTAATGGCCCTATAGCAAAGCCGTATTTACTGCAAACTTTCTGCTCACTGCTCCAAGTCACAGTGAATGACACGACATAATCACAGTGGTTCCTTATAGAAAAGTTCTATATTCAATCACAAAACACTGACAAAACTGACCTTCCAACCCAAATCAAAAGTGTATGAAAGACTATATAAACAGTCACAGTCTTTCTCCTTTCTTCCACTCCTATTTATTATAGTGGTTGTGATATTAATAGTTCAGATCCTGCGCTGAAATAGAATTTACGGCCTATACCTTAGAGATCTACACATGGCCTCCATTAACTCTATCTGTAAGATATAAACTGAACTAAAGTGGAAAACATGGAAGTCGTGTAGTGGTGCTGGAGTCAGGAATTTATTTATTTATTTTTGTTCTAATAACAATCACCAACCTTTTTTTGTAACCAATTTTATCACTGGTTAGTTTACTAAGGTTTGGCAGAAAATACCAAACTAATGAGTGATTTTTAAAAATCCATTGATATGATCAGCAGTCTATCTGACTGTTATGGTTGGAGGACTGGATTCATCTTCATGCAGCACGGTAGAACTGAAAGGTATCAGCATCAGCCTTTGATTCTGTAGCGCAAACATCTCGTGCAATGGACTGTTTTACAAATTAGTTCAAATATGCTCATTGATAATAACATCATTTTCTCATCACTCCCAGCTGTCTGTCTCTGTCTGTCGAATCTGACTGCACCTCAACCTCTCCTATTTCTGTCTGTCAGAGCATCCAGCCTGTCCTTCTATCCCTCCCTGGCTCTTCTGACAGTTCCATCAACCCCTTCTTTCTGTCTGTCTGTCTGTCCTGCCTTGGCTGTGTTGACAGCTCCTCGGTCTCATGCCGTCGCAGTGTTCTGCTCCGTCATGGCCAATGGAGCGACGCCTGCACTCTCTCAGCCGATGGACAGGTAACCATTCTTTCTCACACTTTTTTTTCCTCAAAAGTTTATTTTACCCATTTCCCCACTTGCTTCGTCACTCAGTCTCTCTTTTTCTGTCATCTGTCTCCATCTCCATCTTCCTCCATAGCTGACCATCGTGTTGCTGGGAAACTGACAGAAAGCAGGACTGGGAGGAGAACAGATAGAAACATAGAAATTATATGAAGGGCTCTGCTCAGAAAATCTGCCAACTAAGCCCAGAGCATCTTTCCCTTCCTTTCCACGTCCCCATGCTGTGCCTTCACCTAGACATTATGCCAGTATGGAGTGATGGAGAAGCCTCAAACTAACACTCATATCTCCTAAAACACAAGGGAGGGAAAAGGAGAGTAAAATCTAACATATTCTCTTGAATATATACATCAACTGCCTACATAAATCTTTTCGACTGTCATGATGAGGACCACTGAGAGACTAATTTAGAGGGATTCAGACAGGTAGCCAAACATTTTCAAAGCCTCCGACTGCAAATACTCAGGATTTATGCCTTCATCTCCGGCACGTTCGCCAAATCATACTCTCAGGGAAAGAAGCCCAATCTATGGCGCTTCATACACAGTAACCTCTGTTGGCAAAAACGCCGCAGTACAGCACAGTACAGAGCCCAATCCTTACAAGTAGGTCATGGGGGGGTGGGGACGGGTGGGTGCAGCCCATCTGGAGCGGTGCATTCTGAGTAGTTGACTGCAGATGAAGGGAAGGAGCAAGAGGCAGAGATAGCTTTACTTAAAGCAACCTTTCCAGCTGTTTACTGTTTTATTTTGGCCATAGATGTAACTGTAAAATGTCCTGCTCAGGGGAAGGTAGCATGATCGGTTATTATAAATCAAAGTACAGGTATAATTACACAAATGCGTAAAAGCGCAGTACCTGAGCAGACCTCTTCGTAAGTGGGGTTTGGTGTGAAGCCACTTGCATAGCCCACTTGTGTGGAGAAGACTCCCGGAAGTCGCCAGAAAAGTTTCTCGGCTCCCCAGAAACAGCCCATTCCTGGATGCGCACAAACAAATGCATGAATCGCCCCTGCTTCAGCGCTACAGTAAAACCAGCTTCTCGCCAAAATGTGTTACTAACCACAAACTGGTAAAAGAGGATGCCATATTGGTTTATTTCTGATTTTTCAAAAGTGTGATTGTGCAGTCTCACCAAACATGATGGTCTCCATCCCTTCTGGGAAAGGCTCCACAGTTGGATTCCCATTGACTGCATGCTTGTCTGTGAAGAGAAACAGTGTGCAAATATGGCTTCAGACCATAACACAGTGTTGCAACAGTACAAATTACAATACGAGAGCAAAGAGGCCTATTAGGCGCCTCGATTTGGCCTCACAAGTCTTTACTTGGTTACAGGCTGCCCCGGGCCAGCAAATCAAAGCCAGAGGCTTCTGTGCAGGAAAGACATTTAAGGGATTACACAGCTTTGACTGCTATTCTATCCCTGCTGTCCTCTCCTCAATACACACAATTAAACACAAAGCAGCAGTTTTCTCTGATCTCTCTCTCCCTCTTACTTCACTTTATGTGGAATGAGAGCGCGTTTAGTGTTCAGCTCGGCACCACTGGGCGTCCACAAAGCAAAAAAGATGACTACACTTCAAGGGCGTGAGCCTGTATAACCTCACATGTGGGGAAGAGCACTGCAAGTAGACTCAATGCCACCCTAATCTTCATCATGTTAAAAATACCCAATAAGTAAAACAAACTGGAGTGCTGAGAGGTAGCACTCTACTGCCAACTGTGCTGAGTGGAATTAGAGTGCTAAAAAGGAAGTGTGTGTGTGAGTGTGTAGCTCGCAGATGTGTGAGGGGGATTAGGGTTTAAGAAGACTGAGGTGACTTAGCGTGCAAATCTCCACTAAGCAAGGCTGGTTTGTACTGCAACCACTAATATTAGTCTACAGATAAACAGGCCACGGGGTACACTAAGAGCTTAGGCACATCCCAATAATGGATGCTTGCGCTGAGTTCAATGCGCGATTACTTTCTGGCTGCTCAGAAATGTTATGTGCAACACTGACCTGAATAAAAACAATCTCTAATCTGATACGGACATAATAGTTCATTTCCTAGATGGGATGATCTCCCTGTGCGATAAAAGGCCAAAGAACAGCAGCTACCTTCAGTTTAGGCTTCCAGAAATCGTTCCGAACCCAGACAGCAGAGCACAGAAAAGAAACAGTTTCTGAATGCTTGGGCCCTTAAGATTAAGTGTTTGGAAGACTACACAATAAAAGAGTACACTTGAGCTGATAATACTTTCTTGGCGTGCTAAGGCACTTCTGTTACTTGACAAAAAACTGTTTGTTTTTTACTGTGGAGTAGCACACTGCACAAGCACAAAGAAGTAAAATGTCACGGGGGCCTGGGTGCCCTAAGGCGGTCTCTTCTTGCCCTCCTGTTGTGCGACAGTGCTGTCTTTCAGCAGCAGGTTGTTTGGCAGTGCTAGGTCATGTTCACGAGCACAGTTAGCTCCAGTCAAAGTATATGAGTGCCTGTACAGGCAAAATATTCTCATCCGATGGAGGTGACTTGAGGAGGTGTGAGAACATTAGACATCTTCCTTTTTTTCCCCTGTGAATTTGCATTGTTTCTATCCTCCGCTCACTCTCACCCTCTTGTCCTTTGTTTCTGGCCATGACGATAAAAAGTACTGTAGCTGCCAAACGACTGAGAGAGAAAGAGAGCGCGAAACTGAGAGAGTGAGAGGGAGAAGAGTGTGCGATAGAGAAGGAGGAGAAGTGGGAGGAGGAGAGATCAAGCTTGCCAAAACAATAAAAGGCGTAAATAGCCAGTGAGAAGCAACAGATGAGGGTAGCAGAGAGGCAGTGAAGGATTCTTTTTGGCTTTCGGACCACCATGCTTTTGGGCGCTATATAAAAAGACCAAGCGCTTCATCCAAGAGAACACAGAGAAAACAAACACACAAACAAATAAACAAACAAAAAAGAGAGAGAGAGAGGTAAAAACAAAGTTAGCCAAGAATATGCCGACACAGCACTGTCCAAAGAAGGAAACTCAGAGCCAAATCTCCCCGCCCTCTCATCTCTGTCAGCTGCTCTCCATCTTCACTTCACACTCTCTTCCTCGCACCACCTTCCCATCATCCCTCACTCCCTTCTTGCTAAACATGTGCGCGGCTGCCTGCATGCACGCAACCAGCCACACAATCACCTGCACACCAACCTCTGCAGTGGGTGTTTCTCCCGGGGAGCATCTGGCAGAGGTCCAGACAGTGCCAGGCTGGCTCCTTTCACTGTGCCTGGTCCAGCACCCCCCGCCCTCCCCCTCCAGACCAGCGCCCACACCCCACTCTGCCAGAATTACCCCATCTAACACACGCAGGCACTGAGAAAGAACTGAATACCCTCACTACGCTCCCTCCCTACGCCAGCAAAAGAACGAACAGAGGACGACAAAAAAAAAAACAAGCAGGGAGGGTGACTGACTGGGCTTACAAAAGGAGAAAACAGGCTGAATATGGGGGACGGATTCATGAAAAGGCTTTTTTCCCAACTTGGATGAGATATGGGCGTAATTTTTTTGCGTGTCTTTGTTTTCTCGGATATCTGAAAAGCACTGCGCCTTCTATACACTGCAGCAGGACGGAAGCGGAATACGTTGGTCACCTTTTGTTGCTTTTAGGATGTCGGTTGTAGGCGGCTGGACCAGAACCAGAAAAATCAAACCCGGACACCCTGCCATTCTGCTTGAATCAAGGTTACCACCAGTCAAGGGGACAACAATCTGTCTGTTGTTTAGCGGACAATAAAGCCCAGTTTGACTTGTTTTAGTGGGTATTTAGTCTTTGTTAACCTCCGCTTCTACCCGTGATCCCGTGTTTCTCACCCGTAAAACTGAAGTCCAAGCGTTCCTGTCTCCTCACAGGGACCCGGGAGAGGTTCTATCCCTGGATGCCAAAACTGGCATTGGAAGGTTGATTTCCAGGCTGCTCTGTTTACTTCCTTCCAAAAAAAAAAATCCATTCTATCTCTTTCCTCTCTATCGTCCCCTTCCCTCCCTCTTTCCTATTCCCCTTCCTAGCTTCACACAGGTTGGCAGGGACTCAGGCACGAGTCGTCGGAGCAGGCTGATGCTTTATACCGCTGCCAACTACTCCTCTGCTGTATGGGAGGGTGGGTAGGGGCGAGAAAGAGTGGAACAAATTGGGGAGGGGGGGATAAAAAAAATACCATTAAAAGGTAAGTAATGAAAACTTTGCTGCTGTGGCCTGTAAACAACTAACCCAACTTGTTATTGTGATGCATACATACACTTCACACAGTCACTATTCCGGGTTGGAAAAAGATTGTGATTATTGCATCAGCTCCACTATTCCCCTTCCTCAAAGATGGAGGAGCATCCTGTTTGGGCCTGCTCGTAAATCTAACACAAGCCGGTGTGATGGGAAAATAACACAACAGTCTCCAAGTGGCCCAAGAAAAATGCACACTCTCCCCCTACACATATATGAGAGCAAATCCAATGGTTTTCTTTACAGCTAGTATCACAGAGGGGTTTACTCCAGAGTGCACTGACCAAGATGCATGAAGAGTGCAAAGAAGGTCTCCAATTCACCGACTGACTGTGGTATGGAAACCATACAAGAATCAAACGACAGATTTCAGGTTATGTTCTTGCGCTGACATTCTAGTAAAAATCAGTGAGCTGCAGGACCGCCCATAAGCAAATCTCTCATTTATTTATCTCCTGTTTGGATACTTAATTTATATGTTTACTCAACGCATGCATGCTTTCTCCCCCTCCAAGCTCTTTCCAAAACTAGGAACCCAAGGGCATCAAGAGACGGAAGAGAAGCAACAGAAATATATCTTCTCTATGAAGCTGCTTTTAAGAGTTATAGTGAAACATGTAGCAGAGATTGATTTTAGTCAGCTGACCTCCCCCATCCTGTTTAGAAGAAATATTGGCAGTCTATCCCGCACTGACTCAAAATAATAGCTACTGTGCCCCTACCATGTAGCAATCTGCCACTGGATCATTCTCGCCAAGGTCACTGAGTACATTATACAGACTGGAGCGAGGAAGGGAGAGAACACAGGACAACAGGACGTCTGAACAAGAAACGGGGTGCTTCTTTAAAGAGGATGGAAGGCTAGAAGTAACTTTCAAAATTAGCGATCTTCATTGTGGACAGGACGCGAGTGCGTGCGCTCGGACACACACGAGGCTGGGACAGCACAGGGCATATGTGGAGACCGTTCTTGCAATCCTTAAATTACTCATGCTTAATGGCTCACACCGTCCAACACAGAAGCATGCTATTCCAACACACACATACACACACTTGAACAACCCCATCTAAACTGCTCCCCCATGGTGAAAGGGGAGGAACAGATTTCTGCCATGCGGTGTCTCCGAGCTGCTTCAACAGACGGAGAAGGAACTTACGACGGGGCGGAGCCTTCATGCGCATAATGCCCAGATGGACCTCTGGACGCTGCGGCACGGTTTCATCCTATGCGCTCACACCCAGGTCCCACAATGCACTTTGTGGATCGAGCTATCTATGTTCATATCACACCACGATTCTCCTTGGTGGTACACTGATACTGGCCTTGCGGTCCCGAATTAATAAGACAAAAAAGCGAATGAAACGATAAGACGAGCTGAGGTGAGGCAGGGATGTTTGACTCGCAGAATGAATGAAATTCCGAACAGTTCAGCAAAAAGTAGTAAAATGATTTCATTCAGTTGTTTAAATGTCACATTTTCTGTGCCAGGATGGCTATAACAGAGCTGAGGACTTGATCCAAACAGATTTGTGTTATCCTGACTTAATCAACAACTATTTGTACGCAATCCCACCACATATCCCAACAGGCTTTTGCTGCCACTACAGATTTTGTTGTTGACTGAAAGATTTTATTACTGTCCACAGACTACATCACACACAGTCACTCAACAGGCTAAACAGAGGGGTGAGGGGAAAATACAGATACAGTACAGTGACACCAAATATCGACATTTTATTCATTAAATCAATGGAAATACAACAAACGAGAGGGCTGATCTCATGCACCACCATCTTGAGATAATGTTACTCGACCAAACCGCTCAAACAAAGGGAAAGTTGCTGAGCACAAATGTAATAGTTAAATATTAATTTCTGTCCATGTAGACAGCAACAGATATGTGATTTTCTATGACCTATGCTAACTTAACCCCATTCAATCGCAGACTGATTGCAGACTGGCTCCGTCTTCAGGACACATTTAAGGCAGGTGTTGGCATGCTTGATTATTGTCATTTTGTAGAAAAAAAAAAGACATTAAATAACTTTTATTTCCAACTCTACTAAATAGCATCACAGCAAATATATCCTGAGGTACTTGGTTTGAAAAGTTAATGTCAGTAAAAAAAGTGGTAAAAAAAGGTAAAAAAAGCCTTTTTTTACTAAAAAAGCTCCAAACCTCCATATTTATATCTCCACAGTTGTGAAAATGTCAGGCTAACGCAAGAGTTCTGTGGATACAATTTACTTGGTCATCATATCCATATCAGCAACCCATAGTGTGATGTCAAAAGTCCAGCAAATACTAACATTTTTATTTCCACCCAATAAAAACTGTAAATTAGAGAGTAAATAATTCTGACCTGCAGCTCAAACACATTTAATTCAACATAAATTAAGCAACAAATACTGCATCCATTCTAGTCATCGTTAAATGGCCTCTTCACTTACTGTGCAATGCTTGGAAAACAAAACTAAAACTATATACGGCGGTACATAGTCTGCCTGGATGGAAAGGTTGTAGTATACTAGAGCTCCCTTGGGAAAAACTCAAATGGAGAATGAATCAATGTGTTGGTGTTGTTCTTGTTCCACCGTAATTAATGCTGCTCCAAAACCGTCACTGAAAAACTGACTGTTCAGGATGCTGTGCTGAGTTTTACAGCTCAGGTGGAGAAAAGACTTGAACACTGTAACTCATCCGGCTCACAATCCATCGCAATTCATGTTATTGCCCGTAAAACGACAAGTATGACCTTCACCTTGATCACAATTTGGGTGAGGACCCATTAGGTAATAAACGTGTGCAAGTTTGATTAAATTCTGACCAATACTGTAGGAGAAGTAGCGATTCTTGGGGAATTGTAGATGGACGGACGAACTGTAAATGCCCCGCCATGGAATAAGTTCACAGGCAGGATGAGCTAAAAATATAGTTTCAGGAGAAGTACGCTTTCAGGGGTTTCTGAAAGGCTTTTTAAGACGTGGTTAACATTGTGAAAGTGGTTTAATTCAAACCCCGAGCTTTTCCTGAACTTAAGTAATTTTCTTGACTACCAATCAACCCGAAATCTGATAATCTTCTCTTACTATAATTATCAACATCTATATATAGCTTCTATATATATATATATATATATGTGTGTGTGTGTGTGTGTGTGTGTGTATAGTAGGTTATCTTAAAGCAAATGACCATTGTGTGTATGTTACATTAACCATTGTTGTTTACCAGCACAGTTTGCTAAACTATGTTCAGTGTCACCTTGGGATTATTGGAATGTGTTGGCATTCATTTCTGTAAATAAGTGTTCATCGAACAGTAACTAATAGCTTCATAAAATTAATAAGTTGCATGCAAAGAAGAAGAAGAGTATATATACATATATGTATTTATTATTCATTTCTTTGGTGTTTATGAATCTCTCTATAGACAATGGTATAATGAAGACAAAAAGAATAACATGGCTAATTAAGAACCTGTAGGGTGGTTTGTGACGAAGTAATAATAATGATAATAATAAAAATTATTAAAACTACTTTGTTAAATAGAAAAATAACAAGTCGACAACTTAGAGTTTCATGTAGAACATGAACCTTAGTTTCCTGGGTGACAGCCATGAATTTGAGCAATCCAAACACCCACCCATCCCTTTGCCTGACTTTTGAAAGCCTTTCTATGTTTCACTGTGCAGCAAAGTTTTGACAACACAACATGTCTGGTCAGTTACAAAAGTGGAGAAAGATTTACTTGTTGAAAACCCACCAAGACAGACTTTCACGTAATTCTGGATCTGATCACATTTTCAATTTCTGTCATAAGACAGCCATAATGTCCTGCATAAACAGTCACAAGTCCTTACCATCAGTTGCACACACTGCAGTGCGCAGGGATATAATTTCGGTTAACACGAACCAGTGTGTCTGTTGTGATATGTCTCAACCTTTAATATGGCTGGATTGATCCCTGAACAAAACGTCCAACACCTACGTTGTGCCAAGATGAAGTCAAGGACTTACAAGTGAAAAAAGAAATAAAAATTAAATAACGAAACCTAACACCCACTTGGAAACTGGGTTTTCCTTGATAACTATAATCTGCAAAATACTGTTTTGATTTGTGCTGCCCCTATTTTTCTGCAGAATGGAACGAGTTCAAACCTGTGGTCATGCAGGGCATCAGCACCTCCTACCAAGAGTGGAAAATAACAGCAGAATAAGTTTCTCAGCTGGTAGGTATTCTGCAGATGGAGCAGAGGCTTCGACTGTTTGGAAGCTGTCACCTTAATCCTTGTATACTTCAGCTACTTACTTGTGTACTTCAACTATCTATACACTTAATAATTAGTTTATAAAGCAGTACCAACTGCACATCTTACTTTGCTTGCTCTGAACTTAAAATTTCTTAACAACGACGCTGTTTTCTGTCACTATTTTTCACACGATCTGTTCTGATGTCACTCGTGTGCGTGTGCCACAGGTAACGTGGAGCACCAGGTGTCACCCCCGTGCCAACTGTTATCTTGGTACAAACTCACCACCGTGCGCTATTTACCTGCCACGACCATTTTCTCCTCCCTTCCTTTCAGCGCGGCCTCTCTTCTCGGCATCTGAGTTTTATCAAATGTTTTATCGCTCATTGTTTCAGCGACAGCGAAGCACACGTAAACTACGAGGAGCCACACGATCTGTGTTTGTATTTGAGGGCGTAACTGTGAGGTTGCCCGAGTCTTCCGGCATGCCTCCATAGCGCCACGTCGTTCCGTTACATAGCGGGATAAAGGGGAGGGAGAAAGGGATGGAGAGACGTCGTTGAAAACGCCATCAATATGAATATTCATCGCGCGTGGGCAACGCCGTGCACTGCATATTAACTAGTCAAGGGGTTAATATGACTTTGGCACAAAAGCCTGCACAGCACCGTGTGCGGGAAAGAAATTAAATTTAAATAAATATCCACGGCGTCCAGCATGTAAATGAGCACTCGCCAGTAATCAGCGCTCATTCTGTAGGAGGTGCTACTGGTGGAGCGTGTTGGAATATAGATGTATGGAAGGTTATTTTCCCTTTGTGGTATTTTATATAAAGTAATGCTTGTTTGTGGTTAACGTTGATGAGAAACAGCATTAAGAGCTCGCAGTTAATATCTAACAAAATGGCTCTAAGCCCTGCAGGATAAATGAAATGCAAAAGAAGATGGACCACGTTTTCATGGACACAACTCTGACCACATAAACGATCCTAAAATATCGAAAAAGTCATGCCCTTTAATGTCTTTAAGACCGTACACCAGGTCTTCTTGGTTATTTCCGCCTTATAAACCTGACACCTATATTTTTCTTTAGAAAAATCACATGGAAGAATGTGTAGAATGAAGAATGTGTACTTACAAATGCTTGGATGAGGGAATGTAAAATCCCAACTAGTGCACGTTTATTGTGTCTGGAGACATCATTCGTGATGATTCGATGACTAAAAAGGCACAAATTCCAGTCTGAAGTCTTCAAGAAAGGCATACTTATCAATCATCTGACATCTCATTAGCAATGAAAGCTGATGCCTTGGATTGAAAGCTGAACATAATTTCAGTTTTGTGAAACAGACAAAAGAGACAGAGACTAAGAGGTAAAGAAAAGTTGAAAGTATTGGTCAGCTGATGGATAACCAAGGACAACTAATTAATTGTGCCAGAATTTCTACTCTAGAATTTGTTGGTTTTGTCTGTTAAACAAAAAGTCCTAAATCTTTAGTTTAGGACTGTTGGGCAGATAAAATTCCTACTTTGGGAGAAAGTTCACCCAAAGTAGGAGTTGACAACAATCATTGTGTCCTTCACTGTCTTTAACTGGCACTAATATGATGTGTAATTTGCAACTATAACCCACAGAAAAAGGCAAAGGCACAAAACTATTTAAACTATTAGTCTAAAAAAAGTCACTCAGAGTTACAAGTCTGCAACAGTCAAAAAGCAGAGTTTTACTGCAAATACAGCCAGACCAGGTGATGCGATAGTAATGACTGTGATTATTTATGTGCGGAAACTTAAAAAACATTTTTGTGTGCGCTCTGAACCAGACAATGAGAATAACAAAGAATTTGGGGCATTGTTCCTATATCCTGCAATCCAGAATAACATCACACCCTGCCGCAATCCTCTTTTCCTCTCCCTCTTCCTCTTTCTCTCTCTTATCTGCCGGGGAAATGAAGCTCAATCACCTGCGGAGGAGCTGAGGGCGGCATTGGGGACTTTGCAATGCAAATGCCAGGTAATTACCCGAAAGCTAGGAGAGTGGAAGCACACGGATGAAAATAGAGGAGGCAGCGGAGAGAGGGAGTGAGGGAGAAAGAGAGCGATAGAAGGAGATGAACCAAGCACAAGGTTCACATGCCTGTTGATGCAGGATGATTGGGGTGTTTTCAGGGTGTTGTAGGGAATGTAGGAAGTGGAAAGGGGAGAAGGGGTGGAAGATGAGAACCACAGGAATGGACTGGATCTAAAAGGACTCTGTGTTGTGGGTTAATTTCCTCCTGCGTGTCAGTCTGAGTCTGTAAAAGTATATATGTTCATTCTGCCAACACATTAATTTCTAATAATATGCATAGTGTTTCTTTTCCATGAGTGCAGTACTCAGTTGTGCCTGCACTTGGATTTGCTTGTGCCTGAGTGCTTACATCCATGTAAACATGTATGAGGGCCTGTGCGCATGAGTGTGTGCGTGCTCTGTAATGGGCACTAGTGCAGGTTGTGCTCATATATGCATGCGGAAAGCGACTGCATATGTCTGGCGTGTGACTCGTGTGTAGTAGCAGAGGATTTAGTGAGCATGCCAGCTTGCAGCTGCTTGATTGTCAGTGAGTGAGAGCAAAGAGATGTGCAGATGTGAGTGAGTATCAAAGAAATTATGAAATGACCTGGAATTAAACACTGCAGTACTCGGTATCATTGCATGTTAAGCCTTCTGTTAGATTGCGACATAGTTAGGAAGCAGGCTTGCATACCTGGTTTACACAAATTTATTTAATAAGACAAAAAGCCTATTTGCAATTTAGTAAAGGACTCCAAACATCTGATTGTTTGTGTGTTTGTTGAAGATATTACCAAGCAATAGTGTGACTCACAAGCAGTTTGCACCTCAACTCAATAGCTGCCTCTGATTAACATCTAAACAGAACAGGAGCCAGCCAACCAGAAAACTGTTTTGGCGATTTAGTGTAATTGTGGCTTTGCAAAAGTCTCACTTCACCTAATTAGAATAATAAATCATGCCGCCTCGTTCTTTTCAAAGGGCCCTCTATCGTCTCGTCGAAGCAGGTGGGATTGTGGGATGGTGTGAAAAAACAAAGGGTTTGATTGCTCTGCTGAACCTACAGTCAGTTAAACGCAACATGGCGCTCTCTGGGGATTCATATTAAAAAGTAAGGCTGTATCAATTCATAAAGCAGAGTGGGAAAAAACGAACTTGACAAATTTTGATTCATATGCTGGCCCATGCTTGACTTCACTTGACATAAACCACTTGGCTCATTGGAAAATAGGGAGAAGAGATGGGGGCCTGTCTGAATGACATGAAAGGCTGAGGCATGGCAGCACCTTTCTTCAGTTGTTTCAACAGGAAAGTAAATATACACTATAATGGACAGCTACTATGGATGATAATATAATATTTGTTCATGTTATATATGATTTATTAGTACAGTCTTGGTAAAAAGAAAGCACGGTTTTGTGCATCAGGATATAATACTACTACTACTACTACTAATAATAATGTAGTCTTTAACAGGCCTTAAAATAAGGCAAATACAATCTCAATTAAACTACAAAATATTACACGGTGTCACTATTTATTTAGCAGAAATAAGCCAAAATGCAGAAACTATGTGAAAAGTACACCCATGATTTTCCAGCTTAATAATAATTTTCTTTACAATATTATAAATTCAGTGAAACTTAAGTTCTGCCACAGCACGTGAGACAAGTTGAGGTTTGGACTTTCCCTGCACTATCGAAACACCTTGATTCTCTTATTTTCAGCCATTACATTGTAGAGTTGACTATACATGTGCTTGGGATCCTTGCCTTGTTCCATGACCCGATTTCAGCCAAGCTTTAGCTGTTCGACAGATGGCCTCACATGTTTTTCATGTATTCAAGAGTCACATGAACTCGTCAAACTCACTGACTGCAAAGTGATCTTCTCCTGTGGGTACCAAATAAACCCAAATGATAACCCCTCCACCACTGTGCTTGACAGATGGGATGAGGCATTTGTGCTGATATGCTGTGTTGGAAAAAGAGAGAGGAGGCGTTCTCCTTTTTTTGGGCATTTCACAGCGTGACCTTGGGTTAAATTTGCTGGGAAGTTTGGCAGCTGTCTTGAAGGTTTTCCACTTGCGAATAATCTTTCTCAACATGGAATGATGGACTTTAAATTGTTTGGAGATGACGTTCCCAGATTGATGGGCAACATTGATTACTTATTTAAGATCATCATGACTGTATAAACTCATTGCTCTCTTCTTTTCTCTGATTTCAATGAATTTCACTGACACAAGGGCAAAGGCAGTAACCTGAATTATAGAAATAGCTCAAAAAGTTGTTTCTGTTTATCTGGACGTTGTGTTTGCAGAATGCTTCGTCATTCATCAAAAAGTGCATGGATTATAAAAAGTCTGTTATTAATGTTGACTGTGCAGGTAATAATTGCAACCATCACTTAATTTTATTCCTCATTAATTTTTAAACTATTGCAAATTTTGTTAAAATGTCTTAAGAAAGTGACAAATGTTCATCACTGTGATGCTGTCAAGTATCTGATTTTGTGCAAGCAAAAAACACAAAAACAAACAAAAAGCTCCAAGATACTCGGATTGCTTCTGTGTACAGAAGACCAGAAAAGAAAAATATTCATAGTCTTTGAAGCTTGAACGATTGAATAGTTCAGCCCCACCCATTACCTGAATTTTGCTTAAATACTCACTCACACAACATCCAAGTACCAAAAATGCTTTTATTTTGATTTTATAATAATTTCAGTGTTTCAGAGCAACAGAAAATGCAGAAGCCAAGAAGTATTGCCAATGAATAATAAAATATTGCTTTCTTATTCATAAATGTTCTCAGTCTTGACAGATAAAAGTGAATTTCTGTGGAGTGTGTTCTGTCAGCTCAGAAAACAACGAGAACAATGAGAACTTTCCACAGTGAAGGAGAAAGTGCATCTCTGTCTAAACTGTCCCTGTTCAACAGTGATTACAAACTGTATGCACTCGTTTTTTTGTTGCATTTTTCCCTCCCTCTCATTTGACAGTCACTATACTGTAAACTCGGTCAGGATGTGGCCGTGCTTCTGCAGAGATAGTCGGCCAATTTGTACTCTCTCTTTAGAGTCATCTAGCATATCATTTTATTGAGAGTTTTGCATTTGTTTTGTCAGTGGTTCAAATAATTAGATTTATTTTGCCCACTGATTTTTACTTCATTATAAAACATTTGTAGTCTAAGACATACTTATGTTGTAAATCTGGAGCACTGCTGCAACTAAATACGTTATGGAGTATTAAAGGGGTTGTTAAGGCCTAGATTTTATATTTAATAGATCCTTCTCAAGTGATGGTAAGTGGGAGCACTTATTTTTTCTTATAAACCCACCTGCACCCATCAGACTTTTCTATAATTTATACCTTTATTTTTTTTCTCCTCTCAGTAAAATGTAATGTATTTATTAAGGGCTGTTCCACTGTTGTGGATGGG